CTGTGCCGCTCCAGCAGCGCCGGGGTGGGTTACGGGGTGAGGGAAAGGGCAAAACCTGCCCTCGCGTGGGTTGCTGTCCCATTGTAGAAGACATTTCTCTCAATGTCATTAAGCCTGAGGTTTAATTTCCAGCGAACAAGAGCTCTCCAATAACGAGGATTCACAGTGAAACATTTTTACTTCCTGTCTGATATTAACACCTTATGGATTCTGATTTCAGCACCTCTTTTTAGAGGAGGCCAGTAGAACCAAGATAACATTTTTAAAGTCTGCTACACCAAATGAGTGTTTTTCCTATTATCACATTCAATACAGAAGGGCCTGGCCATTGACAATTGCGTAAAAGCGCAGTCTCCAAACACCTTCTGTAACCCCTTAACGCAGTTCATGACTCTGTTAGCGCTTCTCTCTCTCCATACGGGATCTGAAACATTAAACGACTTACCCACAGACCCGAGGGGCCATCAGGGCTGCCAGAAGAGGTCAAACATTTCCAGAGTATAGATTTATGGTGCTTCTTCCTATTTAACATGAGCAGGCACCGTCCCAGCAAAGCGCAGGGGATGAAGCATCCTGAGCATAAACACTGGTGAGGAAAGTTTGTCAGTACGTCCGTTCTGGAGAGGCAAAAATCTTGTGAGAAAACTCCAGTAACTGAGCCTAAAGATTTCTTTAGTTTTTAAGCAGTAAGCTGTTAAAATTTCAAGCTGGTACAACGCTGGCAACAGGGCACTTGGGTGTTTTCCTAACTGTGGATGATACTTATGTTTGTGCCTGCAGCTATGAAGTACTTGCATTCTAGAGGTATTCAAATGCAACAGCTTCACGTGGGCCCTTCGCTACTGGAGGACATCGTGTCCCCAGCACACCAGGGACATGAGGCAGAGGCCACCCCCATCCATTATAGCAGCAATTAACCAAACATTTTCAGTGGCATGGCCGCTTGTCTCATACTAATCAAGAGAAGCTGCTGGGACAAATGTGGTTAGAAGGTGGCAGATGAGCCAGGAAAGCTGGCACCAGCCAAGTGGGCTGTTTCTGCAGCAATGAATCTCTTGTCACCAACTCCTCATTCTCCTGCCTTTTCAACACACTATCTCCTCTGCTGTGTGGCAACCAACCCAGGTACGTTTGAGCTTGGATGAATCTTTTGTAAGGTGCTAAGAAAATCTGAAAAAGAAATTCCAGTGCCTGTCACCTGAGCTGCAGTTCAGCAGATCCTCTAGGCTTGTCCCCTGAGAACCAGCAGGTTTGAGGGCCAGAAGCGAGGACGCCATGGCATCAGGTGGAAGCCAGTGAGTGAGCAAAGCTCAGGCCCAGTATGAGATAAGAGGGTTACAGCAGTTGTAGGCTGACTCAAACATATTACTACCGGGCAACCTTTGGCTACTAGTGTGAAACACCCAATTATTAACACCTTCTGGTAGCACCAAAAACCTTCAAACTTAACGTGAGACTACAAAGAACACACCAATCCGATGCATGTTTCATATACATATTTATATATATTTCATGTACAAAGTTACATTCTGAACCCCATGGATTCAATAATAGAAATAAATACTGAAATAACTACACTGCTATATGAGCTTTTCTGCTCACAGAAAAGAAGCCTCAAGTTTTAACAGACAGCAAGTTTAACGCTGTAGTATCCATCTCGGATTACAGAGGCAAGTAAAATTCAGCGTAAAGTGTCCAACAGACAAAACTTTCAAAAATTACAGACCATAAAATGTTTAAAATATATGCTTAAAAGATCAAGAAATGTGCATCAACAAAATTAATAAAGGAAACTTAATCTTGTTAGAGGGCGGGAGAGACATTTAGTGTATAGAAAAATGCTTTGAGGTGCAACATAGGTTGTTACAATATGGCATAACCCTGTTAGAAAAAAACATTTAATTTCCCTAAAGAACTGTATTTGAGTTTACCGTGTCTCGTTTTACAGAGCAGGGCCTTCACAAGACCCCGTCTCCACAGGGCCACTTACAAGAGTGCTAAGTCAGGTTTAATCCTTTGGTAACTTTCATAATACTCACATGGAAATAAATATTCAGTTACACAGCATTTTAAAAGACACACGTTCTTTAGAACAGTTAGTATAATAAAACAGATTTAACATTTGTTTGTTACTAAGGCAGCCTATGATAAAGTGTCTACGTTCTGCCAGCTCTATCTGATCCAACGCAGGAAGACCTTGACAAGAATCGGACGACGCAGCAGCTCACACAACGCGTTTCACCTTCACCATGCAAACACCCTTACCCAGGCAAGTAATGTGCTGCATATTTTGTGCTCGAAATGTTTCCAAACTATTAACAAGCTGTAGCTATCAAGAGATTAGCTCCTATTTATATGATGCTTTAATCACATGAGTGTATGCATAAACACATTCTTGAGACGGATTTGTAGGAGTGTATTGTCATCCCAGCGCCTGGGGTTTCACAGGCTTTATTCACCATTCAAAGCGACCTTAAGTAGAGTTTATAAATCCCAGTGCTCTGTGATGACAATAGGAACCCAGTTAATCTACTGTACCTTAGGACAGGGGATAAAGTTTTTAAATGAGAAATACAGAGAAGTGCACATGCCTTGTATCTACACCCACAGTGGTACACAGTTAACCTACTGTTCTCTTTAAAATCCTTCCACTTGTGGACAGGAACAATCATTGTCTGAAAAATTTGCAAGAGCTGGCCCACTGAGGTGACTAAAATGGCACGGTGGACCAGATACATTTGGCAAAAGACCAGGTACACACTTGCCAGATTGAACTGCTCTATTTGATAGCAGTGAAGCCATTCAGAGAAAACAGCTCCTCACTAATTACAAACAAAAAGCTGTACAAGAACCAAGGAACAGAATTGTGCGCTTTTTTTCTGAGAACATGAGAATGTGACAATCAACCAGTGAGTAAAAGCTTTGGAGACTGTGTTTTCCAAGGAGGGAAAAAAAAAAGAAAGAAAGAAAATGGCAAGAGAAGCGATGAAACTGCACCACTCACAGTGAAGATTCTGCACAACAGTAAAAGTTTAGACAGTATTTTTCTTAGACATCCAGTTTCATAAGTTAATTCAGATGTGCTGCAGGTTCAGCATACAGGTCTATGTAAGTTTTAAGTAGGTCCTTCTAAGAGTATTTATTCAGTTTACTTTGTGTATTTCTGTAATTCTTAAAAAGCTCCCAGACTTTATATTTAAGCCAAAGTACTTTGTGACGTTAAAGATGAATTTGGAAAGCAAATTATGAACAACATGCTCTCATCACTTTTGGCATTCTGAAGAGAAAAATACTACCAAGATATTAGACATCTTTAATAAGGATTTTTTACTACATAGTTCATGTCCTAAATACATATTTACGAGAGGAACAGCTGTGTACAAAATATGTCGCTTAAAAAGTATTTATACATATAAATCTAACCAATAGACCTGAATGGAGTTTTTCTGGTTTATCAGCTATGATATGCATTTGAAAAAGCTGCCTAAATATATATTTACACAATAGACCTCAGCTAAATGTGTTCATTTAAAAAAATTAAGAAAATATACAAACACATGTTTGCCTGATAGACCAGAACTGCTCCTATTGCATAAAAATGTTTAGGCAGTTTTAAAAAAGTGTTTCTATATTTACTCCTCTGAAACTGTTCAGTTCTCACACATACTCAAGTTACTCAATTTCTCTGCTAATCAGAACAGAACAGTCCCAGCCTTTTGGGGGTAAATGCCAGATGTTTATTAAAACCCCTCAAAACTTTTCCTTTGCAGAGACTAAATGAAAGAGCAAATCTGGGTTTTAAAATATTCTGAAGTACAGAAACCATGAAGTGTTTAACTTAAGTCTGATACTAACGTAGGAAATTCAATGTAAAAGGAAGACAGTCTTCAACTCACACTTATGGTTAAAAAAATAGATGGTGAGTAGACAGAATGTCAGCCTAATATTAGAGTCTCCTGACTTTCATCAATTTACTGTGTTACCTGCTAACGTTGTTGCTAAACTTTTTTATTTATTTTTTACTAAATTGGGGTATGCAACTACAGAAAAATACATTTTGTACCTAATTATCTGGCACGAAAATTCCTTTACAATCTCACTTGGGCAGAACGCGTTTTTCCTGTACACTCTCAGTCTTTTCTCATGCTCTAATTGAGGTCTCTAACCTTCACACATGTAGTGCCTCATGAGTTTGACCAGCTAGGCAGAGAAGATCATTCTAGTGCTTAGGACATAAGGAGTTAAGACAAGAAAAGAACAGAACATATCCCCTGTTCAAGACTTTTACAGTTATTTTCAAATTTAAATCATTCTAAGAATACCCTTTGGAAACCAAGTTGTTCCACTTCAGGGAAATGGAAAAAGACTATGCTCAAAATTGCTTATTATTGAGGGCAGCAGTTCTCAAACTTTAAGGTCCAATAGCGAAAACATAAGATTTTATTTAAGTATTGTCATCTTAATTCCTATACAATTCCCTCTCCCCCCCGAAATTCTGATGAATGTAACAAATTAAAGCATATACACTATAGAAGCAAGATTTTCCAGGTTTGAAAACAAAAGCTGAAATTTACAGTTTGCTTTAGCCCTCACTGAATATTTGGATGAGTCTTAATAAATCATCTTAAAATTTGTCAATTTTTAAATATTCTGGGAATAACTTTGCTGTTTTACTCAGTGCAGTGAAATGAAGCTCAGTTGGAATAAAGCTGAACTCAAGTGAGACTATCGAAGAAGTGAACTACATTAGATTGCTGTGGTACAGTAAAACTAATGTCTCAGTTGCTTGCTATGGTGTGCACACCAGTTTGGAGAAAGATCTGATTTCATTATACGGTTCCATGTAACACGGGTGCAGTAAAACAGCACAAGCTAATTTCTGTATAGTTAAAGGTATGACAGATTTGCAATATAAAGTTAAACAGCAAAGAAATGCTTCAACATCATGTAGTGAAACAGGTTTCACAAAATAAAAAAAACATGCAGAAGCTTGCTTTTTTTTTTTCTTTAAGGTCTCCAGCTGCATCCTACAGGCTCACTCACTGCCACACATTACTTGCCACACTATCAAGTGACTCCTCTCAGCTTTGGCTACAGAAGGTTCAAGTTGTAGAGCTTCTCCAAGGAGTTCAGACTCTCCACCTTCATCACCTGCAAAACAACAGCTTTGATTCAGGCAATTTAAAAACCAACGGTATTAACACCAAATGGAGCAAGACAAGTGACATGAAGGTTTACAAGAAATACACTATCGAGTACAGCAGTTGCTGGGTGCTCACACACAAGCACATTCAAGATTGTGAATATATACATCACAAACTGGAAATCTGCTGTATAATTATTTCAGGGTCTAGTATTATGATGGTCATATTCTTCAGTCCTAGCCCTCCAAATTAACTGCAGTTCCATAAGTATCCATAACCTACACACGTCATTACTTATACATCTTGAAGGCAGAGAAAAACCAACCTAATCTGCAAACTTGCAGCACCTCCCAAGCAGAAAAGAAGATGGTTATGCTAGGAGAAAGCGTGCTAGCGTAAAAACACGTAAATCATACAAAATGCTCTGGAAAGAAGAGCAATAACTGAGCATAAGCGATACGATACAACATTCGTGTCTATACCGAACCTTTCCCCTCCTTTCCTTTTGCTCTAGTCTCCCGGGCTCGTTAGAACTCCGCACACAGTAGCACACGACAGCCTTAAGCCTCTTCGCCATTATTGCTCTTCAGAAGAGAAGAGCAGTTCTGCAACCACCTCTAAACTCTTGGTGACACAATGCGAGTTGTGTCAAACAAGGCGACAAACCAACCACTCAACTGCACGTAGGCAGTAATAAACAGCAATACAGAGACAGTCTTGTGAGACAGAGGAATGTCGGTTTAAGCAGATGAAATAGGAACTGACCTGCAGCTTCAGGAAGATTTCTAGTCCCAGTTTGGCTGGATTTCTGGTTAGACCACTTATGCAGGTCTGAGGAATCTAATCACAGAATAGCCCGGACCTGCTGCCGAGCCAGTTTGCTGCCCTAACGTGGTAATGGCCGAGCTAGTGCAGCTATTGCACCGACGCTTACGGTCACAGCTTCGCATCACGCCACGAGACAGGAAAAGGCACCCTTGGCATGTGGCTGTACCAGCCTGGCTGGAGGAAGTGCAGAGCTTTCAGAACCTGCTGCAGCGCGGCAGAGAACTGCCTCGAGCCCTGCCTGCCACGGAACTCCACTGCGCTCACCAGCACAAACTGGTTTTTCATTGACGAGCAGGATAACAGAACTTTGGGCCTTCATGAGGTTATTCTTTGTAGTGGTTTTTGTGGGTTTTGTTGTTTGTTTGTTTTCGAAAAACACTCTAGACAGATTTAGGCAAAAGGTCAAAACCAGGATGAGGAGTTGCAACTCTTCTTTAAGCACTTTTTGTCAAGATCTCCAGTAGCAGATTTCTCTCCATAGAATCACAATCATTCTCACTTTTTTGCACTTCTCCAAAAACTTTAATTAAAAAAAAATGTTTACACAAGAAAACTTTAATGGGCTAGATCATACAAAAGTGCTATCCAAGAAAAACAGTGAATAGTGTACAAAGGGCACAGCAAGATAACAGTGAACTACTTTTTGTCCCTTTTCACTCAAAAGTAAGTAAATTTTAGTTGGAGTGTTCTTCACATGAGAGGCCATGGCTTATTGGGAGGAGAAGTTGAAGGGTATGTGTGTGTGTATGGGGGTGGAGAATAAAGATACTTCTATCTTCACGCTTGCTTCGTAAAGACTGTTCACTGATTGAGCACACAAAGGCACCCTGCAATCACGACCTAAGTTATTATATTGTTAATGACCTTTCAGTATGAAGAGGCTACAACTGATTTTAAGCTCAGTTTTCTTACCCATTCTGAAGTCAATATATCCTTCTCCACCACTTATCACCAACATCGATTTTAAGGGACTCTGGTTGAAGGACTCTTGGGCTGGTTTATCAGCTGTTAGCTCTGTTCCACCACTACTCTGTGGGCAGACAACCTGACCTGGATTAAAAACAGAATATATTTTTATGCCACATCTTGCAGAATAATGCCACCTGTACTTGGTCACTGGATGACATTCTTAATGCCTAGTGATAAACTTAACTTTGGATTCTAGTATCTCTTTAGCAAGGGACAGAAAGCTAGCTTGGCTCCAATTTCCTCTCTTTAAAGAGACAAAAGAATCTGTCCAGGTCAGTTCAATGGAAATCAGAGAATTAAATACCTCTTGACAGATTTCACAGCACAGGCAGGCAGATCTAGAGAACGACACTGAACCAGACCTCACGACTTTCAGATGCAGAACTGATTCGGTGCATGTCAGCCCATTAAGCAATCTTCTGCCATTTATTTCCAGTACCTGAGGTGCACAGAAGCACTGAGAGGGGCCCCAGCTAATGCTGCAGCCTCCAGGAAACTTAGTTTTTTCAGCTCTGATCTGTTCCTTTGGGGACTTCTCTCTTAGTACTTCTTCCTTTGTGACCAAACCTTTTTCCTCCCATTACACAATACTGCACTTAAAAATCAGACAAGTCTTGCGAATAAAATATAAAAAATTGTTTCTGAATATACGACTCCATACACTGGCTCTCTTAGCCTAAACGCTATGTTTAGCTAAGCAGATGAGGGCGAGAAAGAAACTTCCTTTCAAGAACAGTAACAAAACCTCACCAGGTACTGCAACGAAGAATTTAACAGCATCGCGGTGCCCGTGGAAGCAAAGCTGCGCGTGCGCCATAGAACAATACGGGATGAATGTTCCTGGAGTCACTTTGTCGCTGTTTTCATCGCCGTACACACGTATTACACTCCCCGGACGGTTTCCGGAGCCTGCTGCTGCTTTATTAGCTGTGAAAGAAGAAAAGTGTTTTTTACTTGAAAATATAAATTGCAGAAGTGGTTATTTGTTAAGAAACCTTATGGTACCATCTAAAAGCTAAAGCCAACTTAGATAAAAATGAAACAGGAGGGCAGCAATGCCAATTCAAGACAGAGCTGGAAAGAAAAAAAAGATTGCATGCTTCGTTATTTTAAGTATATCAGAAAATGGAGCAGGATTCTTATTAGTCTAGCATAAACACCAGATTTTAATATCCTATGTTTGGAAGAAAATAATTTGTGAAAGGACTGTATCTTTTATAGAAAATAAGTACCTCTAAAGTGTTCCAGTATGAGCAAATTCGCTGTACTTAAACATATAATTAAAGACAGTTTCATTCCAACTAATCATAGGGTACCCCCTTGCCAGCAAAAAAATCTCTAAAAATAGCCACCTGTGGGCATGAAGGAGCTACCCTATTATAATTCTACATCTAGTTTTTACTGAGAAGTTTTAAAATCCATTAAAACAGAGAAGTACTCATGCTAGACATACAAGCCATCTCCATTCCAAAGACTACCAAAGTAGTGAGAGAAACAGTGATTTGTAACAAGACAGTAAATGATGTGGATTAATGACAAAGTTATAAGATATGGTGTCACACTGGCTGGAAGAAAAACAAAGTCTGTATGAAAGTTCAGCTGCAACACAGGATGATATACTAAACTGCTGAGCAGATTGGTGGCCATTTAGCAAACATAAAACTGCTGCAATGCAGTAACTGCAAGTGGAAAAACATTTAGAAACATACAAAGGGTAAATCTATAAGGAGTGGGAAACAGCCTCGAAGTGGCTATTAGAAGCCTGAAAATAGATTTTTTGTTCAGGATCTGCACTTACCCCTCAGCCCCAGTAAACGTCCCTGGTGGAGGATTACAGCTAAAGTGAGAAAGGAGGAAAGGGGAAATGGATAGGTATGACAGTAGAGGAGAAGGATTAATGAGAACCCACCACTCATAGTTTGGTTTTCGATAAGGTAGAGCTTAAAATTTTAGCTCCTATAAACAGTAAATATCTAATCACAGAAGATTCAATTAAAAGTCATAAAGAACAGCATCTTTTTATAGAAGTTCAGTACAAAACAGACAACAGAAGCACTGCCGCTTTCACGTGCTTTATCGCTATAAAGTTTATTATTGATCAGCAATGTTTCCCCTTTCTCTCTTTCCTTGGCAGGAGGCTACCAAAGGAACACAGAGCCCACTCGTGTTTTCAAGTGCCCTTGAGAAGCATCGTCTGCAGACCTGGAAGATGCCCTGCTACAGAGACCCAGGGAATCGGGACGTACAATTGCTTAAGCAAGGATGTGACTGTTTCTGAAACAAAGGTTTTCAACCCACTGTCAGGCTACCCACAGACAGTTGTTCCGATTCATGAACAACAAAACTGAAATTAAACCAAACAGCTTTAATAGGGATTTTTTCCATGACCACTACTATTTGAAAACAAACTCCTCTGGAAACATTAAATTAAGCTAGAAGCAAATTAAAAGCTATAATTTTTGAAAGCATGATTTAAACTATTTCAAATTCATGATAGGAAGTCTGTCCTTCCTGAGCACATTCATGCAATGCAAAAAAAAAAAAGACATTTACTGAATGGATGGACAATGCAATGGAACAGTATGAGAAACAATGCATATATGTGCTGTTCAACAAAGCAGATACGACATGAAGAGCTTTTACTACCCTAAAATTTCACCTGTCAGGCTGCATTACTTTCTATATAACTGTACAATTGGGTCTACCAAGTTCTGTGGTTTATTTTCTGAAGCTTCTGTTGATGTGTTTTAACACAAGTGTCAGTTTTTGCTTTTTGTTGTTGTTCTAAATGCAATCAGTTTACACACAGATTCTTCCCAAGCTTCACCTATATAAGACTTGTTTTGCCCTGTTCCCTTTCTCTGAGGTTCGACTGCCCATGTCTGAATGCTTCCCCTCCCACCCCCAAGTAGTTTCAGCCTATGACAAGAGTGTGGGGTCTGTTATTAAGCAGATATCTGGATTTGCATTATTGGAATCTTACCTAGAAGTTAGTGCCCTATTTGTAGAAGGTGTTTACAACTCCTGTAACTTAGCACACATCCTGTAAAGCAGTCTGTACTACTGGTGTTCCAGTCCTTTATACCAGCTTTGTGATGAGCTCTCAAGAACTAAAGCCAATCAAATTGTATTAGCAACAATACCAACGTGCTCAGATCAAACAAAAATCTACTTTGGTGGTCATGTGGCAATCAAAAATATCGCTGATTAGAAAACTAAAGCCATCTCTTACAAGCAGTAAACTTCTGCTGCTAATACTTATGACTCCAAAGCTTCAAAGTGTTTCTTTCATTCAGTCCAGAGCAACTCTGCTCAAACGGAAGCAGAGATTCCGGAGATGGGCTTTTCTGCTCAGGGTAACTGTAACCAAGCACATAGTTTAGGTGCTGAACATCACACGGGCCCAGCCTGTTATAAACCTGACACATTCAGACCTGGCAGTAAAGCTTTCTATACATCAGCAAGCATCTGAATGGCGTTTAAGATTCTGGTTTTGTGTCTACAGCATATTGCACAGTGCTATTCATTTATATGTTACTTACTTTCTGTTAATGGAATGGAGATGATGACACCATTTCCTGTTCCTACCCATAAACGATTACAAGACACCATAAGAGCTGTGATTCTCACAAATGAGAATCCCAGTTTACCAGTACCTAAAAACAAAAGATGCTTTTCATCAAAAATTATGAGCAAGAATAATTTTAGTTCCATAACAGAATCTTAACTCCAACTCCCAAACCACGCAAGACAAGTAATTCCCTCCCACTTCAAACAGAAACAAGGCAGAGGAGCACATTTGAGTTGTAAGATAACCAACAGAGTGGTTTAGCCTTTTAGGTTAAGTTGTGAACCTACACAGAGACTAACATTAACTGGGAGAAAGCACAAAAGGTATAACGGTTCCATAATGCTGCAAGGTAAAATCTTTTGGGGCTTACAGTACCAGGGCAACTTTGCAAACACAAACGTAAAGGTGAGTTTATGTATGTAAGATAATGGTTTTTCATCCGTTAATTTCTCATCCCTTAGCACTATGACGGGAGCAGAAGGCCGAGCAGGCAAGTGCAACAGCACCGTAGTTATTTGTGAAGGATCTCCCATGGCCCGATGACCTGTTGTGTTACACAGGAGGTCAAACTGCTCTTATATAAACATGAATAAAAAATAAATAAATCAGAAAGCTTAGTAGCTTCAGTGGCAATAACATTTTGATATTTTGCATTTGTATTTTCTTGAAAAAGAGGCAATTGTTCCAGGCAAGTTAATGGATTATTGTGACTCTTAGGTTTTAAAAAAGGCATCAGTGCAATAAGAAAAGAGAAAGATGTTAGTGTTTCTGTTGATGCCTGTGCAACCCAATCAACATTTTCCTCATTAGTTCTGACTTTTATGAGGCAGCTTTGACATCAGGTAGGATCAACAGACTGTATCAGAAGACCTATCACCCTCACTGCACTTTACAGACTGACTTAGGCTCCTGCTTCCAGATTCAAGCTTTCACAAACAGGATTTGACTGGCCTTCCACCCACCCACTCCCCTAGTTTGCAGTGAGAATTGCCCGATCCGCAACAGGGAAAGAAAGCTCCAGACAGCAAGAGACGTAAGAACGCAACGCTTTTTCTTACCAACTTACCTAACATTTTGCTTACATAAGGTTCAATGTCCACATCTTGTAGATGCTGATAGGTGTGCGCATGATAGAGACGCAGGGTGGAGTCCAAACGAATGGACACCCATACCCCGTCACCCACCCATGCCAGCTGCCTCACTTGGCTTTCTCTCCTCGGGTGTGCATCAAACGACTTCTGCAAAAGATTGGATTTTAAATTAGAAGATGTAACAAAGGAAAGAGTAAGACAGACTTCTCTGTTACTCTTACACTGTCAATACTGCCATAAGTCATCTATGACCCTCCGATTTGCAAGATCGCCAGCAGACACAGTGTTTAGCTTAGTTACAATTACCATATGATGTGCGTAAAGCAAGAGTAAAAATGCGAATTCCCTTCTCTGGACTGTGGTCTCAAAGGCCTATTTTCCTACCGTGTCCTCATTTACATATCATATCCCAACCTACTCTGGCTTCTCTCTTAACTTGGAGCTTTTTTAGTGTGAGGTCCTCCTGCCACAGTACAAGATACATAATGTCCAAAAAAGTGTTTTTCCCTAGTTCTGCCAAGCCTTGCTCCTGCATATAATCCACATCCATGCAAAATACCAACTATCCATGAGCAAAACAATTTCACTGCTGTATGAATTCCTTCATTTCAGTTTTTTTGAGTCTTCTTCAGAAAAACAGGTTATTAATTGGGTGCTTGATATTTCCAGAAAAGCTGAGCAGTCACCCTTAAAAGGTCTGGCTCATGTCTCAGACCAATTAGCAGAAGCCGAAGCATTAACCCTGCTAATGGCATTCAGAAACCTGCGCGACTTCCTTGGGATGTCACGTACACACACAGCACCGCAGAAACGGCAGCTTACACACCTTATATAAACAAACTATTCTGTAACTGGAGGGAGAGTACATTCAAGATTAACACTTACGAACTTCTAAAGTATGCAAAGGCAGATGATGGAGAAGGTTACAGGTGGGTGGAGAAGGTAATGAGGCATGCATGTAGAGAATGAGCTGGGAGCCAGCCTTGCAAGCCGTGCACAAGGACACTTTTCCAGTTCCTGGCCAGCTACAAGTGGAGCACTACACCTCCCAAATACTGTTTTTAATAAATGAGAACTGTCTCATTATGTCTCGAAACATTCCAAAACAATGAGAGCATCTTAAGAAAAGGTAATAGTACTTCCCACAAGTTTGCTTGTCTTGTTTCTGTGCCGATGAACGAATAACCGTTCTCTGGAGTTACTCCAGAGTTTGAGCTGTATCATGAAGTGGCATTAAAACGTAACATTTATTTTAAGCATCACTTGAACTTGCCTCTATTTTCATGGCCTTTGGTTGAACAACATAGATTTTGTTCCTGTAGCCACACCAGACTTTGTCATGTACCACTGTCATACATCGTATCGAATGATGCGGCCGGCCCAGGTCTAAGAGGTGATAGTTGGTCAAATCCCATTGACCATCTTTGAAAACAGAAGAAAAAGAACAGAACAAAACATTGGTTCCTGTGAGTTTAAAAACCATTTAAAAGTACATGCAAATATCTTAACAGTCTGATGTTTCAAAAGCACTGTAATAATCCGGGTAAGTCAATGCAAGTTTATGGATAGGCTGTTCACTGAAAAGCCCAGCAACCAGCTATACCAACTACCCACATCCCAAACACTACTTTGTTTTTAATATAATAAGATTGTACAATGACTCATGTTCAAAGCACATCGGAACATTTTTAAAAAAAGCAAGTTACCTAGTGCTAAATGCTTTACTTGGACAGGCTTCAGCACACATTACAACAAGCAACGACCCGCTGAGCACTGGGCACTCGCTGCTTGACTGAACATAGAAATGTTGACCATAACATCAAGATTTTTTAAAATGTGCTGCAAGATCTTAAGAAAGGCATTTGAAATCTACTAAAAATGTACTAAATTTGGCCATTTAACACTAAGTAAAATTCTCCTGTAGACTGAGATTAGCCGCAGATCATCACTGACATTTACTTGAGATCCTTAAGGACTGTAAGCCACTACAGGTAAAAAAAACATTCCTGGAAAGCGTTAGGAGAGTACAAAAAGGGTACTTGAAACGGCAACTAAAATATTACAAAGATATCTCAAGACAACCTGTAAAAAGACCATTGGAGAATACATTTTCAAAACACTTTTTATAAATGGCACATGTCTTTGCTAAATACTGTTACAACTTCACTGGTGTGAAGATCTAACACAACACTTACCAACTCCTCGGTGAAATATTGCTAGTGTTCCATCAGCTAGTGCAACTAATACTATTCCTTTTACATGTCTGGGGAGGGGGGAAAAAAAAAGAGGCACAAGAATACACACTGTTAGATCGCCCTTCTTAAACACTTCATATTTCAGACTTTTTATATTCATGTTAGCCCCAGCATTTTGATTTCTACAATACAGTTCAAGAGAAAGGACAGTAACAAGGTGTCAAAATCCAGTTTGGAAAGCTAAAAAAATGTATCTAGCTACAGTGCATGAAGAAAACATAAAGAATATCCTATAATAGTTTTGAGTACACAACTACTAAGAATAGCAAGAATAATGCTGCAGCTCATCATTTGATGATGAGTATAGTAGTTCCAATATATACAAGATTCCTTTTATTTTCCTTACTCCCAAAACATTTTCCACTGCCCCTCAAAGAATATGCATGCATTTATGGCAACTGACAATGTCAATATCTGAGGAGGAAATATATAACTACTTTGCAAGTATTTTAAACAAAAAAATCATCACGGTTTACATGACATTCTTTCAGGACTTACACAATACTGAGAATAGAATCTTTAAGTTTAATGGCATGAACACATTTCCTCCACTGGGCCACTGACGAATGAACATATAGGCTGCAAAGACAAATCAGGAGGGATTAAAAGCACTAGGAAAGGTCTACCAGACAGGGAAAAACACAAGCAAAACCCCTACAACTGAAATTGGCAATCAAAGGGAAAATAAGTTTTCATCTTCCACTGAAAACTGTGTGTAGAGTGAAAGAAAGGACTACGTGAGCAGCAGAATGGTTTTTCAGAGGCCTGAAACATTACCAACTCCTCTACAGACAAATGTGCAGTAATAAGGGCCATATATTTTTCTAGCATAATAAAATATTGAAGGTTATTACTAGAGCACAACAATGTCTTTGCCTACAAAAAAGACCCCAACAAACTGTTCTGCAGATAAAAGTGTTATCCACCAAGAAGAGCTTGCTGATCACCTACAATACTTTCTTTGAATTCTGTAATGCCTAAATGTAGTAAAGTGCATGAAGTTTGGGCTCCTTGAGGTCTTCTTGCACTTAATCTTGACTCGAGACAGTTATCAGGCCTGTAGGCACAAGAAGCAAGTTGAAAATAATTTTTCCAGATAAATTTGACAAGACCATCATGTTCTTACCATCCATTCTGTGCTCCAAGCCACATTGTTGGTAAAAGGCTACTCATTTTCTGTGCTTCTTCTCTCACTAGATCTTGCTCATTTGGCAAAACTGCAACGTCTTTATATAACTCTGACTCAGCACTAGGGAAAAAAAAAAAACATGAAAAAAAATAATGAAAAAACTCCCCAACCAACAGTTAAAATCATGCAAGCACAACACAGAGTGTCTTCTACCAAGACTACTTATACAAACGTCAAGATACTTAACAAGAGAAAAAGTCTTTGTGCCTTCCTACAAGCATTACATTTTTCTTTTTAAATACATTTTAAGAGAGATAGGTACTGAGACTATGTACCTAGGCTGGTACACCGGAGATGCCTCCGTCGTATTCTGCACTCCCAGAGGATCTGTGAAGACATGCTCTGTGTAGACTCCAGTTTGTGCAATATCAGCTGTGTCTTCTCCTGTCCCTGCATTGACTTCTGTTGCTTCTGTTGCCTCTTCTGCTGTCGGAATGTTCTCATCTACTGAATTACTTTCAGCTGCAATACCTATGGAAGAAAAAATGTTCAAGACGTATAATTGTGAGAGAATTCTCAATTATTTAAAATAAACAGTACTTGACAGTTAAGTGAATAGCTGTAATTAACAGTCACAATCCACATTTTATATTTCACCTAAAAAAATCAAAAATCAGATCAGAACACCCAAACTGTAGTAGGTTAGGCTGTATCACCAAGTGTCAAACGCACTTTCAGTATCAACCCAGTGACTGATGGCACATGTTGCCCTTTAAATGATTAACTAGAATAGCAGTGAACAAATCCAACCATCACATATCCACAACCATCATATCACCACGCAGCTCTGAAGGGCATATGACAAAATATTAAGAATGCTTATAAAGTAAGCAGGTTCCCTTAAATGTCTGTGAAGACTTCTTGAGATTTAAGGCACATATCCACATTTCCCAGCAAGATCTGCATTTCAAACACCGAACAACTGAAAAGCTCTCTTTAGACTATGCACAAAGAGAGTTCTCCCAAAAGCATCTGAAAGAAACAACATTTAATATTATCTCCATGAAGTTTTTGGCTACAGTTACAAGTGTTTCAGACATACAGGTCATTTCCCACAGAGTGCTGCTGTTACGTTAGTACTGCTCATAGACAAGCTATCACACGGAGTGCTTACTCCATCCATTTTCCTGTTCCACCTAATGGTGTTTGGCCATCCCTGGCATACTTGGAAGATTTTCATACCTGACTGCTTATCTGTCATGGGTGAGCCACCATTGGCATCAGCAGCGACAGGAGCTCCCGCGACACCCTCTGCCGTACAGCCAACCACCGTGATGCCGCCCAGCAAGCTGTCAGTCTCTGCAGAACTGTTGCTGGTCATGCTGCCACACAGAGACGACTTGTCCACCTGACTGGGATCTGCTTCTTGGGACCCTTCTTCTCCCGCAGGATAGTCTGTTTCCCTCGCCCCTGAAAGAGATTAAACTCACACACTGAGCGAGCTCTCCAGCAACTGAGATTTAACATGCAGATACCTATCTACGAGCCTATTTTAACATGATCAGCAGATGTTAAAGGATGCTGTCACGAAGCTCCAAAAGCAAAAGCAGTATCTACACATGCTGCACATTTAAATGTCAAAGCCATATTTCAATCTGCAGTTTCATTCCAACTAGTTTATTTCTATTTCAGATAAATTTTCCATTAAAATTAGATTTCGTAACGGTGCATATATGCAAGGATACCTACCTACATTTTTGTACAGAATTTAACTGCAAGATCTTTTGTTCTGGAAGAAAAGCTGTTTTTCTCTCAAACAATGCTCTCTAATACTTTTAAGACTTAAAATCCTATTCCTCGTTTCTTGATTTTTTTAAATCATATTTTACTATAGTTTATGATGGTTTAATTTTACAAGTTATACATAGTTTGAACGAGTAAAACCTCAAACTTCACTGGAAAAAGATTTCTTCTGAGCTTATTAAACAAAACTTCTTCACTGGAACTAGTGTTATAGACTTCTAGTAAGCCAAGAACAAGAAATCCAAAAGCCCAATTAGTTCTTCTCCAGAATCACAACATCCTCCTATCAAACTTCCCTCACTACACTAACCACACACACTCTCAGTGTTGCAAGGATTCCCTCTACAGGAAGCTCCAAGACTTGCTACTTATCTTCAGGAGGTCTATAAAAAGCCAACGTATTTTGTGTTCTTCACAGTTCCATAAAACACTGGCACTATCACACAATTTGCAATAGAGCAGAAAAGAATATTTAGCCTTGGTTGCTGACACCTCTCCACCTTTCAGTTAATTTAGGTCAAAAGCCAACTGAAGAATGGAACAGCAGAGCAGAAATCCAATAATTTTCCCCACAGCTAAACACCTCGTACTGCTGCATTACTCTAACGTTTTATCATGCTGATTAACAAATCTTTGGCTTTTCACTGCATAAGAAAATCTGAATAAGATACAGTTCAAAAAAGCAGGAGCTAAAAGATCACAAGTCTTTACCTGGCACACTAGCAATACAAAGCACATGAGAGTTGCAAACAATAAAACTGTCCAGAATGTTTCCTGGTTGATTAGCATCAATAATGATAACTTTTGTAGCAGAATGTGTGCTAGTACAGATCCAAACTAGACTGGATAATTCTTCCTGATGTTTCAGCTCCTTCTGCTGGTCCTGAAGGGGAATAGGCAGAATAAAAGTGAACAACAACAAGAAAACAGACAAGAATAGAACTATCACCATCAATCTTTTACATCCTTACATTATCGGCTACAGAAATACACACAAACCTGCGATAAGTTACATATCTTTAATGCTATTGCAAAATTACATGTAGCTACTTGTTCTCTATGCTTCTGGAATACAAAACCCCCTCATACTTCATACTTGTGTAGGAAACTACAGAAAATATGTACACTGCACAATTATACAGTTAGACAAAAATAAAGCTACATAAGAACACTATTTATGTGCCAGCTACCATACTCGGTATCGTCACGGATTAATGGGATGTCCCAAAGCACTTCAGAAATAAGCCTGTGTTTTTCTGCCCTTGATAGGAATTTGATTCACTGCTTCTCCATGGAAGTGTGAAGACTAACATATGTTTAAACAATAACAGACACTTTAACAAATCTTTTTTTATTCAATGGCAGAACACAAACAATTCTGTCACAACTGCTTTTTAAAGTAGGCAGCATTGCTACAAGGAAAACACCACTGGGGTGTAAAATTGAGTTGCTCCTCAGATTTGCCAACAAGCCAGCACACAGGAATCACAGTATTTTTGCAGCTGGATTCAATAACCCAAAAATCTATTTGTTACCAATAAACCTGATTACAAAATATTTTATTAATCTACAGATACAGGGTAAAGATGTTTAACTATATCAACTGCTCAACATTCAAGTGACCTTACCTTGAGCTCTTGGTCTAGTCTGTCTAAGCTACTTTGAGATCCTGTTTGCTGCTTGTTGCCTTCTGCGTCCACACCAGCCACATCATTGTAGAACACACTAGCACCAACCACAGAGCCACCATCTCGAGTTTTGCCTCCTGATAGGTTTACCCCTACAGCACACCACAGCTTGAAAGAAGAGCAAATAGTTCACTTAAATGCTAAGCTAAAAAAAAACCCAAACCAACAAACCAAACCCCCAAAAAACCGCCAAACCACAAACAAGCACGCTCATTGTTAAATATGCTAAGCAATACCAAAATTATTATATACCTGCATCCATTTTAGGGAACTCATTAAGATTAAAGATTAAATTTTCTACTGAAGCTTAAATTCTGATTCAACTATGCTTTAAAAAGAAAGAACTTTATTTCAAAAAGAAAAAAAGAGTCTAAAATAAAATTACTCAAGCAACAGCTTGTCCAAATCTCTGTATCATCAGTGTAAATATCTTACCTTCATAGAAGTATCCTTCTCGTCTAAAGGTCTCAGGTAAACAGGTACAGGCAAGTTCTTCATCTTATTTTCACCCTGGCCACCATTTGCCACCTAAGGAAAAAACCACACACAAACAAACCCACACCAACATAAAGCTTATCGTCTTTGGAATCAGTTGATCGGGCTTTGTTAAACATGATTACAGTAGTGTGGTTTTCCTTAGAAAGACTCATTTAACTGCAAAAGTTCAACAACAGAATGCTGGAACCACGCAAACACAAGCTGGGAAATGATACTCAAGGTCACAAAACGTCACAACACACGAAGTTGCTAGCACTCCATTGGAAGATGTAAACGTAATACCTGTTTGTACTTCTGAGGTAGACTCCAGCCAAACGCCTGCACCCTCCCATCCTCTTTCTGAACGTGTGCTTTCACCTGGCGATACTGCTCTCTCTTCTGCTCTCTGCGTGAGGCTAAACTGGCTTCAGTTCTAGAGAAGAATCATTATTAAAGAACCTGTTATTTATGTTCTTTAGAATTGCTGTTACACTCAATAGACAAGATCTCTCTCGAAGCACTTGGTTACCGAAGAGATCACTGGTTTTTCACACATCACCTACAGAATAGTGGCTGTTTCTAAGGGGCTGTGAAAGACAGGCTAAACCAGAAAGTCTATTGTCGGTATCCTTAAAGAAAATTAACTTGGGTTATGTATCTCTACAAGTCATAAATCAAAATGATATATTGCCAAAAAAAAGTACAGGAGAAAAAAATCCAAACAGATACTTGTTTGCCTGACATTGATATTGTTCTGATTTTCCTGATATTGTTCGGATTTTCCACAGAACTTAAGGTGAAAGTTATTGCTTACCCACAACACCCATACATAAAAGTGGACCGAGTGCTGCCTCCTGTGCCTAAATGCACTTTTATGAAAAAGAATTAAAAGAGTAAACACTTGACAAAGCATATCTAGTATTATAAAATCAAAATGTCTTACTCTTCACTGAGGAATTCAAAGGCTTTAGATTTGTCACTCGGTAATTGCGATAAGGTGCTGCTTCTTTTCTTCACTGATGGAGTAATATGTGAGGTTGGAGCATTATACTTAACATTGACAGGAGGTTCTGGTTTCTTCGCTGTATTGCTAGAAGAACTGAAGAGCCTGCTAAAACTAGACGAAGAAATAAAAATAAAAGAGAAAGAGGAGAGTTAAGATTTGTAAGATGCGTCCAAATTTGACTACACTACAAATGCCTGGCCTGCTCAAGCCAGTTTGTGTAAGGAACTGGAGCCCAACAGCAGCAGCCACCACACACTCAGCAACATCCTCGAACCACAGAAACTCATGTCATTAAGAAAAACTCTTAGAGGATTAGTATTGCATTTGTTTATGAATTTTAACGGGATCTTGAATGAGTATCTACCGGGAGCCAACAAAATCAGGATGTGAGCATTACACTTGGAAGACAGTTTTATGAAGCATATTAATTCATGCACAGACCACTTTAAACATCTCACCATTTTCTAAGCTAAAAGACAGTTATCAGCACACCACAACATCAAAGGGATTATTTGACAAATATCTTGCTGTGAATAGATTTAAAGGGCTTGAGGTCAGAAATTAAAAGTTAACAATCAGCAAGCCATACTTCAGAGAGGAAAAGGAAGCTGGAATAAATGCAATCCACACGAGCTATTCAGGTTTCTATTTTCCATAATAAAAAAGAATCCACAAAAACATCCAGAACATGAGTCCTGGTGCATATTCAGCTGGAAAAACAAATTAGAGCACTTTGGCATTTAACTTCACAAAGTGCACAGCCATTCGCTATGTGATGCAGCTTACGATACATTTTGTCTTCAAGAACTGTCTTACCGAGCTGGCATGCTAGGTAACAAGAGGAGAACAGTTAAAACATCTTCATCTGCCAAAAGATAATTAGCTAACAGACAAAAGTGTGCCAGCTAATTGGTTAGGGGCTTTTATTTATTTTTGCCAGTGAGTTGCATTTCAACACTTACAACTGCCAAATGCTTGATCTCTTCTTCTCTTGCATGGCTGGATTTTCTCTTGATGCTCTGCAAGAAATGAATTCCAAATTTTCTGAGTAAGCATTAATTAAAAAAAAAAGAAAGAAAAGGAAAGGAACAATGTGTAACTTTCATTTTATAAAAAACCAACAGGATAACATATCGAAAGTATCCAAGTCTGTTTCTTTACCTTGCCACTTTTTTCCGGTTGCAGCACAATACTGAAATTCTCACCAGATGAACCACAGTTACATAATAAACATCCTCCACAGTTATTTGCATCACAAACACAACTGGTGAATGCTTTTCAGACAGAAAATACAAATTTGTGTAACACTTGAAGAAAACAGCAAGTCGTTTTCGATCCTTCTGCCTCCTACTGTTTAATATTTTAACCACTGCTTCTCATCTTAAAACTTCTTATGCTTCACCACATCAGTAAGGAAACGATAAGGTGATCATTCCGGATCCGTTAACAGAGGTAGGAGAGGATTCCTACAGGAGACAACAGCTGTAGCAAAAGAAGCCACGGCTGCTTGGCAATAGGTCTTTTTCCTCTCACAGGCTCAGGGTCAAACCAGCTCACTGGTACCGAGGACAACAGAACAGAGGCAACGCCACCGCTGCACCGGCCTGGCCGGCAGCACCGCGTGACACTGTCACCTCTGGGCAGGGACACGCCCAGTGGATGCAATAAGAATGAGCTGGGCTGAGGGGTGAGGCACAAGACTTATTTTTTAAATCCCACTTTCCAGATAAGCCAATATTCAGGATGCAAATTAGACCAGACCGCTACGCTTACATTTAACAAACTTTGCCGAGCTTTAAAATTGTGTTTTCTCCTGAACAAGCCAGGTCCTTAGACAGGGATTACACCCGACCCAACAACCGGACGTTATTCCTGTTTCGACATCCCAGCTGACAACTGGGCCCATGGCTTTAAGGTATGTGCACACATACCTTAAAGAGCAATTTTTCGTGCCCACCCAACTAACATTATTTATGATTACCAGGTTTTGCAACTGTTCCAAAATAAGGACATTTCTTCAACGAATGGGTATTTCGCATCATATGAAGTAACTCATCTTCAGCGAGGTCTCACCGAGAGCCCATCTTGACATTATCTGAAGTTTTGACATAATCTGAAGTTATATGCCCACAACTTTGCTTTTCAGTTATTCCTGAGTGTGCAGGGAGACAGGCAGAAGGGCAAACAAGGCCTCGTAACCTAATCTACTGACCAGATCACTCTGCAGCTAAAAATCAAAAGCTTGTCAAATCCACGAAGCTTGACCCCAGATTTTAAGAGAGCCTTTTACCTTATCATCTCAGTCCATCGGACAGCTTCCTGAAGCTCCATCAACCTCTCTTTATACTGATTTCTTTCCATCAGAACACGGGCCATTTCAACACGAGTAAAACGCTTCCGCTGAGCAGTGGGGACATCGCTCTGAACACACAAAAAAGCAAACATAGGACAAACAAAGGAGCACAGTAGGGCCCTGCAGAGTCAGTCTCTGCCTTCCAATAAGAGTCAGTTTAGGGCACAATTCCAGATTCCAAATCATCTGGGCTTTTGTAAAGCTAACTCAGTTTTACCTTCCTCTCCTCCCACCCTTTGTATTTAGTATAATCAGAATAAAAACAGTTTTTCAAATGTGACACATAATAATGGGTAGAGAGGAAGAAGAAAACTAGACATGGTCAGTTTAAGTTTACTTGTGCTCTTTAGATCTTGGATCTTCTCTATACATGGAGGAAATTTGCCACTACTTATTAAGCAGTAAAAGTTCACTAAACACAATGGGACATTAAAGTTTATGTGTGAACTATACATACAAAAATACACACACATACACCTACATCATCATCCTCTTTAGCTTTCTGTCTTGCTTCCTCTGCTTCTGCACGAGCTCTGAATACAAAATAAAAATTAACTGCATTAGTTACCAGAGTGGGGGGCTTTTTTCTTTCTTTTTCACAACCATGGAATTAAACTTACTTTCTCAGCTCTTCTTCCAGTTCCTTATTCTTCTCTTCAAGCTTCTGTTTTGCTTGTTTTACAGCCTCTAATTCACCTTGTAGTACATCCTTCTCACAGGTCAATTCATCCACCTTTGCTATCAAATCATTCTTCACTACATTCAGTGCATTTCTACACAGACATTTAAAATACACCATTACAAGGATGATTACGGTCTCATAGTTTAGCTTCAGCCTGACTTTTTTTTCTTGAAGACATACAAATGTCTTACAGAGAGCTAAACAGGTCAAGCCCTCTTCCCTCAAATATCAAGTGCTCAAATACATTCCTACCTCTGTCTTAGAAAAAAGCACTGATAAATCAGAGCCATTTGCTTAGAGGCTGAATTCCTCAACAGCGCTCCAAGGGATCAGCTTCTGCAGTTACATCTGCATTTCTAACAGAGCTGGTCTCATTAAGACATTGCACTGCATTTCTTGCAGTCTTGCAAGGATAAAAGCAGCTTTGGCTTCTTAGGTCCTTAATTTCTAGAAGAATGTCAACTAAGCTATATATTTAGCCAAATATACCTACAAATGCATAATACTTATATCACGACTACTCCTAGAACTGAAAGCACAATTGTGTAATTCCAACTTGCAGTGTATGAAGGTATTGAGGATACAACAAAACAAAGGTCAGTGGTTTTTACACACACGTTCTCACTTACTTTGTCTCCAACAACTGCGTGTTCTCCAAAATAAGGTTTTCAACCTCGCGACCCATTCCTTTCCAAAGGAAACAAACACATAAAATTAGAAGACAAAATGGATGTTTTCACAAAACCTATGCACTGTCTAAAACCAGCTGAATTTTAAGTCTGACAAACTTGTCAGAAAAGCTGTGAGCTATCTGAACTTTCAGGATCAACCTACCTTCTACAATTACCTTTCCCCTCCACCTTCTTCCCAGTCTGACTTCAATTAAAGCCTAAAGCCAACCACAGCTAACCACAGGCCAGTGCTACCTTCACCTACTCTGTATATTTTTTTAGAGCTTACAGTACTGCCAAATCAAAACCAAACATTAGCATTACTGGGGAAGTATTAGTCCCAAAAAATTAAGTTTAAAATGCTTGACTTTTACACCACGTTAGCTACAAAAGTGTATCAGTTTCAGATACGAGACATGCTGAATTATAAAGCTCAGATTGCGAAAGCCCTGCAGATTTCCCCAGAGCAAATGATACCTTACCAAAGAAATTATGTTCTTTAAAGCCCATGCATTCCATGTAGAGCAAAAACAAGAACAAGAAACACTTCATGTAAGGTGTAGTATGAGTGAAGAGCAATAAAAAAAGATTTAGACTTATGAAGTAAGAGTGAATTAAAACAAAGACACCACCAAAAATCTGAAGTGGAATGTGATGCGATTAGAAGCAGGATTTATACAAAAGACAGATGTTAAGTTTGTCACAACCATTTCTATTGGACAGAGCTCTTACCAAAATCAGTAACTTAACAAAACGTAATTCAGAAGCACAGTACTTGGAAGAAAAGCTAAGCCATTCAGCGTCAGTTTCAAATGAATATGCTACTAAGGAAAAAAGTGAATATAACCCTTCATGTAACTACTTCAGTATTATTGAAATTTCTGGAAATTTATTTCTCACCCTATCGTCTACATGTCTGAAAATAATATTATTTGCAGGATTTTTTAAAAATTAATTTTCAGGTAGAAAATAATTACTTTACATCTTGCACAGCAAAATAATCACCACACTGAAAATGCCAGAAATGCTGATTTGAGATTCACACAAAAAAATAAAAAAGCTATCTTAATGGTGGAGGCCTTTTAAAATACTCTAAGAACACAATCTTCTAAGCAACTTTGGTAACAGAAAACATAAAAGATATTTGGATGAGAATAAAAAAAGGTATCTAGAAAACAGACACGCAAGTCAAAGTTCCCTCTTTTGGAATTTCCCTCTTTTGGAATTTCCCTCTGGATTTTGGATTAAAAGCAAATGACATTTAATAGTGAAGGAACTCAGATCAGTCATTGTTACTTTACCGATGTCTGGAGAAATGCCCTACACTACAGTCATCAAGCGGTGGGGTTTTTTTAAGTGACTATTGCTTTTAAAAAGTTTTCAATTTTCACAGATTAAAGTCCCTAGGATCACTTCCTTTATAATACAAGAGCAAAAAGGCTGAGTGCAAATGCAAAAAAAAAAAAAGTTACCAAGCAGGAAAAAAATGCAGAGAATGTATTTTATGAGAGCAGCAGCCAAGAACGCCTAACTGTAGAAGCAACAGATTTCAAAGAATTTTTTTTAAAAGAGAAGCATACACACCAGAATATTCCCCTGGGTATGCAGCCCAAGAGAAAACAGATTAGAGAATCCCAATTAACTACTTTCACAGAACTCCAGAATGAAGTTTAATGCTCAACAGATCCAAATGCTTGAAACACACCAACGACCCTGGATGCAGACGTGGTTTGTAGGTGCACCGAGCAATCTGGACTATGACCATGCCCAAAGTGAAGCGATGATTATAGTAAAACTTCCAGAGCAACACATTCTGCATAACAAGTGCAGTTACAGTAATGTGTTCATTCTGCACACACCTGTGTTTCTAGCAGGAGTTTTACGGAAAATGGTAATGAAGTCAGTGACAAACTTCTGACAAGTTATACCAAAATGTGTACGATTTTTGCCCATGGAAAACAAAGCATCTACTATCACAAAGTCCTGACAGCAATCTGATTTCTTTAAGCAATTTATCACATAACTAAGGGAAGTTGCTCTATGTCAATACTTCTTCAGTATCTATATTTCTGCATGCAGAATGTGTCATTAGTTGTCCCTGTGACAAGGGAGCGCAAGAGTTTTGGATGAAGCACGTTCCCTGCAAGGATGTGGCGGGTCCTCACTGCTCTGGATTCAAAGCAGCAGAGAGGGACTACAAGGAAAAACCCTCTCTCCGGCTGGAGGGAGGCCCATTACTCTTTGTGAGCAATACTTTGCAGAAATGTCACCTACTTGATGTAAAATAAATTTCTGGTGGAACACTGAACAGCTAGAAATCCAGACTGCACACACAACAGTTCTAAGCAATATTAATAACAACCCATTTTTGTTGGGTCAGACAACAGAACCAGAAGTGCTGATTTTCTGTACGCAACCCACTGCTAAAACACACAAGAGCTTCATCTGCATTTTATGTACTCCAGAGTACCAGCTTTCATTATTTCAAAATGAGGCCCGAACACTGAGACAGTCAAAAATATTTTACGTTGTTTATAGATAGATCCTTCTTTTAACGACCTTTTTGCTCCCAATCAACTTATATTTCCAAAACTTGGTTTTTTTTCAGTCAGCACACAAGTAGCAGCAAGCTGCTTAGGGGAAATGCAGGTTCTTCCTCTTTTAATTAATGGTTTGACTCTCAAATAACCACCACTGCGTTCTGCTGCAAATGTCTCTTACAAGTTAAGTCCCATAGAGAGGTGATGAAGCCAGGTCGTTACAGACTGGGCACGACTTGAATTGAACTTAAAACTACTTCAAGACACAATTCCAGAGAACATATACGGGAAAACTCAGAGAACAGAGGTGCCCCAAAAGATTAAGGCTGATATCATTATATTGAAATAAAGAAGAAAACACTCTCTCCTGGTTTTTGCATTCCAATAACCACTTTAGGATGATACTCAAAACGTTTTAATGCAAATGAATCCTAACAGTAAACCTGGCAAGGATAATTAAGCACTGCACTAACAAGGAAAACTCCTCTTCAAACAACCTTTCTTACCCAGTAAATCTGCACCTTCATCCACATCTCCAATTAGGCCAGAACCAGCAGATGACAGCTCTTCAAAGAGTGACTCTGTGTTACGGTCAAATGCTTTGTTCTCTATGCCTTTGGTAGGAGTGCTATTCAAAGAATTAAAATGAGACATAAAAAAGCAGAAAGAAAACATTCCCACATTGAAGAAAGTTTCTCCAAGTTTTTTCTCAGTAGTTCGTTACCCGAAAGAAATCTGTATGTCAAATTTTCAGAAATTTGCATTTGGCTTAGAGTCCTAGATTCTATTTTCAAATAATACTTTTGCGACTTGAGGTAGCTGCTTGGTATTAAGCTGGTCAGGAATTTAATAAATTAAAGCATATCAAGTTTTGGCATACACAAATTCAGCCCTGTCAGGACTTAGTCAGCCCAAATGCCTAAAGAACAGGCAGCTCAGCCAAACTGAAGTAATTTAATATAACAAGAACGCAAGAGAACCAAATAGTCAGAGATCAAAATATTCTTCTGGCCAGAAAAGGTGTTCCTCTCGCACAAAGATCTTGAGCCACTAACGCTCACTTTGAGGTAATTTTTTTCCATTGCATCACAAGAATGAAACACACAGGCACATAAACTGAGGGACATGTGGTTAGACCCTGAATGCTCAGGGTTTTCCTAAAATATTCAGCATTCCCTCCACCCAGCTCAGAAAATGCTAGTACCTTGAAACTCAGATCTAGGGAGAGAAGGTCTCTTGGTATAGGTCTTTTGCTTGAATTATGGAAAGAATCTTTAAGCATTCATGAGTCTGCTGTATGTTCAGGTATGCTGAACATCCATCAGCTGCAGCAAAGAACGAGGAACTGCTGCTGCACTTAAAACCTCCGGAAGAATTTGGGGAAGTAAACCCACAGAGGTAGGAGATGTATAACGACATAATGCATGATCTCAGTCTAATAAAACTTCTAAACAAGCTGTGAGCTCAAAACTGAAGTCTGATACCTTCTAAAACGGGTCTCCCTGCTCAAACCACAACATACAACTTACCTGGAACCCTTATATCCACTGAGATCTTTGTCCATATCCAGCTCTGGAGTCGACTCAATGATTGCCTGAACTTCAGATTTTTCTTCATTTTCATTTCCACCTTGGGAAAAGTCAGTGGTACATCTCCATAAATAAAATCACTGAGATGTGTGACGTTACCTACATGTAGTTGCTATTAATCAATCATCAACTTAGTGGATTCTGTTCAAAGATTGATCAATGCAATTCAGTGGGAATGCCTACGGAATCTGATACTCCAGTGCAGACACATGAATTTCTAAATAAGTCTCTCCTGAATTTAACTTAAGTCATCCAAGAGTAGCTACTCCCTGCTACTTCTACTTCTCCAGGCAGGTGGGCCATCATCCTGTGGCTTTTGGTGTCTAGATGAGTGCCACTTCTGTCTACAAGGAAATGTCATAAATAATTCTGATTCTAGATAAAATAAGGACTAAAGCCACTTATAAGCAGCAGACTTCCATCTCGTACCAATATTCCATATTTCCAAATCATGAGTCAAAGCTCTCTCTCTCAATTTGGTTGTTTATGGCACGACAACTATAGAAATTTCGTAACAGATTACACATGAGGTCGTAGCAAGCATATACTAAAAAGTTAAAGCAGCTTACCAGTAGACACATTTCTTGTCTCTTGAGCTACCTGTACCTCAATATTCTTGCTTACATCCAACTTCTCATTTGGCATATCTGTGTCCTTCGCAAGCCCTTCAACATCCTCCTGTTGAGGAGTTTCAGCAGGCAGCACAGGTGCATCGGAAGCAGCTGCAGATGCTGGAGTAGTAGATTTTGAGCCTGCTTGGCTAACATCAGAGAGCTCATCCTAAAATTGAACATTGCTATTAAAAAATGAACATGAGGTGAAGTATTATAATAAGAGTTAGACATACAAATTAAAGAATAAACACCAAAATGATTGTATTTTACTGAGCAATATGTAAATGCAAAGAAACAGGAATGGAAAGAATACTTTCTGCCAAGTACGTGCAAAATGAAGGCAGGATGGCAAGTTTTGATAAAAAGTTCTTTTAGGGTTTTGTTTGGGAATCAGAGATAAAAGTAAGGCTCCTGGACAAGTGTGTAACATTTAAAGAGAACATATGTGTTAGCTCAGGAAACCCAAATTTGTCAAGAATGAAGCAAGTTCAGATTGTGTAAAGCACAAATTCATCATACTGCTAGCAATCCTTTTTGAGAAGGAAGTGAAACCGAACTTTAAAGGTTATTGAAGAAGAAAATAAGAGACCTGAATATAGACACACCAAGTACAAGTGAAAGATTACTAAGAATTGTAACTTCTATATTTTTCCTTTTGGAACTTCCTGGAAAAAATATATTTACACATATCAGCATAAATGTAAAGCTTGCGTCCTACAGTGACATCCCCACATGGAATCTGCAAGCTCTAAAAACAAACTTCAGCACTTTGAAGACCTGTCTATCCAGTTTCCATACTTTTAAAAGAAATTCCAAAATAGTCAATTATTCATATTTTCAATATTATTAATAAAAATTATTCAGAAATACTGCCAACTGACAGGTGCCTCTAAAGGCATCAAACACGTACGCTTACCCACAGTTATACAAAGCAACAAAACCAATTTATGACAGTTTTATATGAGGTAAGTTGTATCCATTAAGGCAAAGAAAAAAAAAAAGGAAGAAAAGCTAAGCAATTTACCCAATTGCCTTTTGAATCGGTGAAGTTCAGCTGCTGGGTAATGATTCATAGCTCAGCAAGCAGACACAGAAGGGAGGAAGCCGTACCCTTTACCGAGGGAATCGAGAGTTCACACAAACAAGGAATAAAGCCTCAACAGAGCTGCTGGCTCTGTTCAAGCATTTCAACATCTTTGTATTCCAAGAGCATCAGCTAACTGATGCAGCACAGACTGATCACTGACTTTCACACACAAACCTCAAAAAACCCCCAGCTTGATAGCACAAGAGAAGCTAATGAAGAGAATGGTCCTTTCCTTAAAGAAATTTCAAATCACCCCATTTATTTTCCATTTCTGAATTTATTATCTACTGCATTTTTTTAGCTAGCTCTTGGAAACTATACTGATTTAACGATCACAAATTGTTTGTTCTAGAAACCATACAATTCCATTGTATGAATTAATCAAAATATCCCAAAGCCTAAGCATCTGAAAGTCAGTGCTGTGCCGACTTAGCGAATTTGACCTTTTTGGCAATGTTGCCAAGAGACTTTCTCTGAAAAAAGAAAAATTAGTTTAAAAATTAGAGAAGTAAATGTGAAGAAGCAGCAGCTTATCTGCAATGCATTGCAGGAATAAGCAGAAGAGACTGACTGGTACGTAACGGCACGCTCTCTTACAGCGATACCCAGCAACGAACAGAAAATCCAGTCTCTTCCATCTGCGTTTCTCCCTGACACCTACTCTTCGCGATAGTTTGAGAGGAAACACTGACCAGTAATGAAATGTTCATGCATGAACAGAAAACTGACACTTGGAACCAGCAGAATCTTGCTTGTGCCTTGCAATTGTTGGACGTATTTAGAAGAAATGATGGTATTAGAGAAAAAAGCACCATGATGATGACTTCGATACATCATGTCGTTCAACAGGTGCACTTCAGAAGGGTTTTGCAGTCACAGCTACAGTGCAAAGATGCTGCTTTGGACTCAGGGAACTTATCTGAGCTAACTGGGTTCAAAAACTTAGTCTGTGCTGTTTCATAAATTCTCTTTTAGCAGCGCATTATTTTCAGAAGAACTATGCCAAGGAGCTGATCCTGACAATCTATAGTAACCGATACAACTTCCTGAGGGGACAGGGCAGGATCAGAGACTTCCCTGTATACATCATCTCCACCTACTCTTAGTCATAACTTTAAGTTGTATTTCAGCCAGATCTCCTAAAGTCAGTCAATTTAGGGATGTTAATTGGCATAGGACACATGGAATAGAACAAATTTAAGATCCAAACATGGTCCCAGCCAAGAGTTTAAGTGACAAATGTTTACATTCAAACTCCTGTTGTCACTTTGATACATTTATGATTAACCTTTATTACACTTCTATTTTCTCCATATGAACTCTAGGCAGGAAAAATATAAGTCTGAGTTCCAATTTTTTTCTGAATCGCTTTTTAATTGTTATCAGTACAATATTCCCCTGCTAGGTATTAAGTTCACTTAGGAGGAAATTCCCCTCCGCTCTATGTCTTTCCCAAAATAACAGGACATGCATAGTCTTCCAGAAAATCTCATCAACATAAATATATAGGAAGCCTTCACACATTCTGGGGTTCCTCACCCCGCAGATCTCTCCTCCCGCTGTGTTGTGAGTACACCCGAGTCTCAGCTGCCAAATTCATCACACCCCAACCCCACTCCCCCATTTTTCCATTTCTGCAGCTTGTTCTATGCCACCCTCTCACTGTTGGAACAGCGAACAATTGCATGAATTATAGCCAAGCTGCATGTAAGGGAAATCATAATCACGGGCTAATTTAGGAAAGTGAGGTCATTCTCAACTCCGCGGTGTACCTACGCTACCCGCCTGAGAGTAGGCAGAGGCTGCGTTAAGAGTGCTGCCTGTAGTAATCAAAGCTCTACTTGTAAAACAACATGAAACCAGCAGACCTGCTCACACCATCCAGTTACACACCTACTGTGTAAAGAACAAGGGACCGACCTTTGGAAAGGGTCCTTCAAAGAAAGCCACTCCTGCCAGCAAGAGAACCAGCCTGTACGGAAATGCAACCCAAACTCTGCATGTTCCACAAACCAAGTTCCCTCAAAGCTCATCTCAGTAAGCAACATGCTTGGCTTACACAATGATTTAAGGTTTTCCCACCCCTTCAATTTTCTTTTTCTCCCCACCAAGCACCTCTAATCTGTTCCTGGGGGTTGCTCCTGGCACAAAAGCCAGCCGAGTGCTCACCTTCAGGCTTGTGTGGGACCGTGGCTGGCTCAGCTCGTGGAATTTCCAGTGCTCTGACCCAGGCGTCTCCCCCGCTTCTCTCTGAGCTTCGGGCGTGAGCAGCGCATCTCCCGGAGGTAACGGGAAGATGCCCAGCGATATCGGGCGCTCCTTTCTGTTTGAGAGAGAGACACGTTTCATCAGCCATTTCAGAAGCCACACAGCTCATGTTCCTCTGAAATCAGCAGGGGAGCGATAAAATTAGAGGTTCACACATTCATACGCTGTGCACTATTAAATTTGCGACGGAGCACACACAGTTTGTATTCAGCACCCAATAACTCATTATTTCATTTTATTGGATTGCAAATGGTCTGTTCCACGGCTTTAGATAGCAGCTATTGATCGCGGTGTAGCTAATCTATAGCAAACAAAAGTTTTACAGAAATGGAACCCAAACGGGAATACTCAAATGAAAATATTTCTTTATTTCAGACTAAATTACAGTTTTCAGCAGCCACTCTTAAAAAGATCATTTTTGCCTTTTTTTTTTATTTTTTGGAAGATACAGTACCCCTTAACTTTTATAACACTCAACAGCCAAATTATTAACTGAAGCATTTGGGAAAGTTTTAAGCAATCAACTTCAAGTCCAATTCTTTTCAAAATGAACAGTATTTTTCTTCTGAAGATCACAGGAATTACATGGATTTGTGTTACCAAAAAAAGGTGGGTCGAGGAATTACCAATGGTAAAACCAGCCCAGCCAAAAACTGCATAGTTTTAATCCAAATCAGTTCAACACCTGATTTTACCCCAGAGCTGCATAAAAATTTGTGCCAATAAGGCAAATTGCTTCATCCCAACTTTTCACCATCTCTGCTGTTTTGATCTCTTCCCTATGGCAAACAATGACCCTCAAAAAAAATTAAAAATTCACCAAGTCAATCTTACTGTCAGCAGCATGATCTCTGAACAAAAAGACTAATTCTTCCTGCTAGCAAGAGACAAAAACATTGTGTAAAATGCAATTCATAGGATGCTACAGCCGGCTCTGAAGAGTAAAAATATCAGCCAGGCAGAGAATTGAGATAAAGCAAAGTATTTGTTCAGTCAGAACAATGAAATACAGAAAAAAGGAATGTAATCAACTTGCATAGCTTTAAGTATACAGAGTACAGAAGAAAAAAGCGTGCACAAGTGATGGCAGAAAATTGTGCTGCTTGAGAGAAAGTATTGACTAAAAGAACCCCTCCAGAGACAACCCAGACAAAATATTGCAATTTGAGAGCATTATAAAAAAAATTAAATTAAAAAAAAGTCAAATCACAACATACACACTTTCTTCTGCAAGGCTTTTCACATATTAAACATAACCTAAGCAGAACTGTGTGTAGAATTAGTATCTGCATGTAAGTTATATGTAAAAAAATTAAAGGGAGTGTTGAAACACAAAAGAAAAGGCTAAACATTTTTTTAAAATTTGCTTTGCTCTCATTTTGGTTTTGGGGTTTGTTTATTGGGTTTCTTTACTTAGAAAAAGTAGTCAGTATCGAGCAATTCAGCAGTAAACTCCTTTTGGTAAATTTTACATTGGCAAAAAAACAATGTTCAAATAGTAAACGATTTCAATTGGCATGAACCTTTCCAGTACAGGTGTACAAAGACGCCCCTTGAAACGAAAATCTTTGCAACTAACTCTTCACGTTGCATTCCATAAATATTACTCCAAGTTGGGTCATTAATTTGGAAGTAGTTCGACAGAGCAAAGCAGGCAGCAAAGTGAGTAAAGCAAAACCACGATTGGTTACAGAATAAAACCCACCAGATGCTGTCTGAGCATCTGCAAACGAACCCTGCTGAAAAGTCCTGATGAAAACCAGCCACAGAACTCAACAGTTGGATTCCAACAATTCCTACTATTGTTCCAGGTTCTGCTTTTCTTTCGATTCCCCACCCCTCTGATGTGTGCGGGGAACAAAAGGCCCACCACATAAGCTCAGATCTTGTCAAAAGACAGACCGAAACCATTTCATTGGTTAAGAAGTCCAGCAAGAACAGAAAAAAAAAAAATAAAAGAAATGCAGTCCTTCAGCGGCAAAGAAAGCCGGTGATAAAGAACGTATTGTGAAGGGCCCTGTGCTTTGGAAAACGCCTCCCCGAGCCCTGGTTCAGAGCAGGGATTTGCTTCCTTGCAGGATACGGCACAAAGCTCATCTTCTCTGCAGTCTTAGAAGACAGAGATTAAACAAAACGGGGACCAAAGAAGTTCACAACCAACATTCACCTTTTTTTGTGTGGAACAGTTCTAAATAAATTTTATAACGAACATATTTCCATGTGCTATAGCACAGGTCAGGTGCACTGCAAGAGTACACGGGAAATGAAGTCTGAAAAGGGGCTTATTTTGGAAATGAAGGTTATTACGTGCACGTCTGTATCAAAAGAAATCAGTCAATTAAACTGAAGCAATTTCAGCGTATTTCACTGGTTGTCGGACAGAAAACAAAGAACTCCTTTAGTCCTCCACTGTCCACGCAACATCTGAGAGTATGACAGTGAGCAGAGGGCAGGCACGTGTTTTAAAAGCCTAAACTAATATTCTGAAGTGGTGCATTGAAGCATTTACAGGAACCTTTAGGATAAGCAACCAGATGCTCTGTTTTAAAATCCGACTAGTGTTAAAAAAATAGAAACAATTCTTCTACAAATAGATTCCTTCATCCTGTGGATTCTTTTTTTTTTTTTTTAAATTATTTTTCAAACTAATAAGAGACTAAGGAACCAAGCCTAAACTAATATTCTGAAGTGGTGCATTGAAGCATTTACAGGAACCTTTAGGATAAGCAACCAGATGCTCTGTTTTAAAATCCGACTAGTGTTAAAAAAATAGAAACAATTCTTCTACAAATAGATTCCTTCATCCTGTGGATTCTTTTTTTTTTTTTTTTAATTATTTTTCAAACTAATAAGAGACTAAGGAACCGAGTTCCAATTCCTGCAATTCCTAAAAAAGAAAAAATCCCGCTGGGCAGGAAGAAGCATAACTACCCCAGCTCCCTCCAATCCATTAAATATTCTCCGGGGGAGCAAAAGCACGTAACAAAAGCAACTACTTCTTAAACCATCTGACTGCTTAAACATACATATA